CAGAATGGCTAAAATAAAAAACCAAGAAATAATAAGTGTTGGCAAGGATGTGAAGAAAAAAGGAACCCTCATGCACTGTTGGTGGGCATGCAAATTGGTGCAGTCACTATGGAAAATAGTATGGAGGTTCTTCAAAAAAAATAGAATTATCATGTGGTCCAGTAATTCCACTACAGGGTATTTTTCCAAAGAAAATGAAAACGCTAATTAAAAAAGATATATGTACCCCTATGTTTACTGCAGCATTGTTTACAATAGCCAAAATATGAAAGCAACCTAAGTGTCTATAGATAGGTGAATGGATAAAGAAGACGTGGTATGTATTCACAATAGAATATTACTCAGCTATAGGAAAGAATGAAATCTTGCCATTTGCAACAACATGGACAGAGCTAGAGGGGATAATACTAAATGAAATAAGTCAGAGAAAGACACCATATGATTTCTTTCATATGTGGGATTTAATTTTTTTTTTTTTTTATTTATGATAGTCACACACAGAGAGAGAGAGGCAGAGACACAGGCAGAGGGAGAAGCAGGCTCCATGCACCGGGAGCCCGACGTGGGATTCGATCCCAGGTCTCCAGGATCGCGCCCTGGGCCAAAGGCAGGCGCCAAACCACTGCGCCACCCAGGGATCCCCCATATGTGGGATTTAAGAAACAAAATAGATGAATATAGGGGAAGGGAGGGAAAAATAAAATAAGATGAAATCAGAGAGAGAGACAAACCATAAGAGACTCTTAACTCTAGGAAACAAACTGAGGAGTGCTGGAGGGGTGCGTAGGGGCATGGGGTAACTGGGTGATGAGCATAAAGAGGGCAATTGATATAATGAGCACCGGGTATTATATGCAAGTGTTGAATCACTAAACTCTACCTCTGAAACTAATAATACACTATATGTTCATTAATGGATTTTAAATTAAAGCAAGAAACAAAGAATAAAAGAAACAAACGAAAAAAACCCTAGACTCTCTTTTTAAAGATTTCATTTATTTATTCATGAGAGACATAGAGAGAGAGAGAGAGGCAGAGACATATGCAGAGGGAGGAGAAGTAGGCTCCGTGCAGGGAGCCCAATGTAGGACTTGATCCTGGGACTCCAGGATCACACTCTGAGCTGAAAGGCTGTTGCTCAACCACTGAGCCACCCAGGCATCTCAAAACCCTAGACTCTTTTTTTTTTAATTTTTTAAAGATTTATTTATTTATTCATTATAGACATAGAGAGAGAGAGGCAGAGACACAGGAGGAGGGAGAAGCAGGCTCTGTGCAGGGAGCCCGACGTGGGACTTGATCCTGCCACTCCAGGATCGTGCCCTGGGCCAAAGGCAGGCGCTAAACCGCTGAGCCACCCAGGGATCCCCAAAACCCTAGACTCTTAAAATACAGAGAACAAACTAGTGGTTGCCAGAGAGGAGGTGGTTGGGGGATGGACAAAATAGATAAAAGGGATTAAGAGTACACTTATCTTTGATAAGCACTGAGAGAGGTATAGAATTGTTGAATCATTATTTTGTACATCTGAAACTAACATATAACACTGTATGTTAGTTATACTTCAATGAAAAAATAAGTAATAAAGATTAGAGTGAAAATAAATGAAACGAGAATAGAAAAATAGAGAAAAATCAATGATACCAAAAGTTGGTTCTTTGAAAAGATCAACGAAATTGACAAACCTTTAGATTAAGGAAAAAAGAGAGAAAACTAATTATTAAAATAAGGAATAGGGATCCCTGGGTGGCGCAGCGGTTTGGCACCTGCCTTCGGCCCAGGGCGCGATCCTGGAGACCCGGGATCGAATCCCACATCGGGCTCCCGGTGCATGGAGCCTGCTTCTCCCTCTGCCTGTGTCTCTGCGCCTCTCTCTCTCTCTCTCTCTCTCTCTGACTATCATTAATAAAAAAAATTAAAAAAAAGGAATAAAAGAGGGACATAGCTACTAACCTTACAGAAATGAAAAGAAATTTAAAAGAGTACTATGAACAATTGTATGCTAACAAATAAGAAAACCTAGGTGAAGGGGACAAATTCCTAGAATGACACAAACTACCAAAATTGACTCAAGAAGAACCAGAAGACCTGAATAATCTTATAATAAATGAAGAGATCAAATTAGTAATGATAATAGGGATGCATGGGTGGCTCATGGCCTTCATCTGCCTTCGGCTCAGGGCATGATCCTGGGGTTCTGGAATCAAGTCCTGCATTGGGTTCCCAGCAGGGGTCCTGCTTCTCCTCTGCCTGTGTCTCTGCCTCTCTCTCTGTATCTCTCATGAATAAATAAATAAATAAAATATTTTTAAAAAAAGATTAGTAATAATAATTTTAAAAAATCCTACAAGAGGGCAGTCCGGGTGGCTCAGCAGTTTAGTGCTGCCTTCAGCCCATGGCGTGATCCTGGAGACCCTGCATGGAGCCTGCTTCTCCCTCTGCCTGTGTCTCTGCCTCTCTCTCTCTCTGTCTCTTCTCCCTCTGCCTGTGTCCCTCTGTCTCTCTCTGTCTCATGAATAAATAAACTAAATCTTTAAAAATAATTAAAAAATAAAAATCCTACAAGAAATGCCCAGGACTAGACAGCATGTCTTTACCAGTGCATTCTACAAATATTTAAAAAGAATTAACGCTAATCTTTCACAGTTCCTCCCCAAAATAGAAGAGAAGGGACCACTATCCATCTCATTCTGTGAAGCTACTATCACCCTGATACCAAAACCAGACAATGACATTATAAGAAAACAATAGATCAATATCCTTCATGATTATAGATTCCATAATTCTCAACAAAATACTAAAAAAACAGAATCCTAAAAAGATTATACACCAGACCAAGTGAGAATTGGTCCAGTTATGCAAATGTGGCTCAATTCTCATGGAACTTAAGTAATGTAATATACCATATTCATAGTATAAAGGAAAAAAACCCCCACATGATCATATCAATAAATAAGGAAAAAACACTTGACAAAGTTCAACATCCTTTCATGATAAAAACACTCAACAAATTTAGAATAGAAGGGAACTCTGTTAACAGTTAGGGAGCAGTTAATATATGCCAGATGCACTGTTCTAACCACTTTACATTCATTAAATAATTTAATTCTCACACCAACTCTGAGGCAGGAACTATTATTACCCACATTTTGTAAATGGGTAAACTGGGGCACAGATCACTAAGTAACATTTCCTTTTTTTTTTTTTTTTAAAGATTTTTTATTTATTTATTGAGACAGAGAGAGAGAGGCAGAGACACAGGGAGAGGGAGAAGCAGGCTCCATGCAGGGAGCCCGACGTGGGACTCAATCCCGGGTCTCCAGGATCACAGCCCGGGCCAAAGGCGATGCTAAACCGCTGCGCCACCAGGGCTTCCCACTAAGTAACATTTCCTATGTTAGGAAGCTAATAAGTTGTAGATCTAAGATTCCAATATAGAAACACTAGCTAGAGTCCATGCTCTCAACCACAACCAGCTATACTGTCTCTCAAAGAATGTGGAAAAATAATAATGATGGTAAACAAATTGGGTTTCCTAAGAACTAATGATTTGATGTTCATCTGTAAGTAAACTTAATTCATAATACTGTTAACTTAAATCAGTGACCATAATTTGTAATGCTGGTAATAATTTTTAATATTAATACCAATGTTTATTTGACCAAGATGGTAACTTTGGGTTGACATTGACATTTAACTGTAATTTAATTCACAAAAGTGGTGATGATTATTTATATAAGCAAATAGAATCTATAACATTGTTAAACATTTATAAAATTAGTTGTAAAATTTGATGGCATCAATGGTGATTCAATTTCTATTTGCAACTAAAATTTGATTCATAACTATGGAACTCATTAATTTATATTAATAATTATAACTTTAATATTAGCAATCATTCATAATGTAAACTGGAATGTTAACCATATTAATGATGATTTCTATTAGAGACTATAAGATATTTCAAAATATAGGTACTTATAATTCATATTAGTAAACTTAATTTGTAACATTGGCAATAATTTACAATAATATTTTACAATGTACTAATGGTTTAATTTCTCATATGAAAATCTTAATTTGTGGGACGCCTGGGTGACTCAGTGGTTGAGCGCCTCCCTTCGGCCCAGGGTGTGATCCTGGAGTCGTGGGACTGAGTCCCACATTGGGCTCCCTGCATGGAGCCTGCTTCTCTCTCTGCCTGTGTCTCTGCCTCTCTCTCTGTCATGAATAAATAGATAAAATCATTTAAAAAAATAAAGAAAATCTTAATTTGTAACACTGGTAATGAATTGTAATTATTAGTTATAATATTTGATGATATTAGTAATGATAATGTAACCTCTATTAAGTATAATATAATTCAAAACAGACTTATAATTTATATTAGAGCATAATTTGTAATACTGATAATAATTTGTAATAGTTATAATCTTCAAAGACTCTAGTCATGATTATTCAATTTCTGTTGGGAACTGCAATTTGATTCATAACAGTAGTACTCATAATTTACATCAATAAGAGTAATTTGTAGTATTAGTGATAAGTTGTAATATTAGTGATTTTCTTTTATAATAATAGTAAGTAACAATTCAATGGCTATTGGTAAACAATTTAATTTATAACATCACTACTAATCATCTTTATTGCCAATCCTCACTTGCAACATTGGTAAGAAGGCTGTTTGCTAATATCAGTAACAATGACTTGATTTCTATATGTAACATGATCTGGTTCATTACATTAGATCTATTCATCTACACAAGAAGTTGATTGTTAATAATGGTGAGAAAAGATACGATAAGAAACAGGATCACTGATTTAAATCACACTTGCAAGCACATAAGTAAATTCATGGTATTAATAAGCCCTGTCATGAAGCAATTTCACCCTTCACATGCACACACTGGCTGCACTCTCTGACAGCATGCCAATGGCAATAATGTCACAGTCTGCATGATGCTGTCCCCCCTTGCCCATTCTCCTTCCCCCAGACTCACCATCTCTTTGTGATTGGGGTAGAAAGTCTGATCAATAAGAGGGAATTCCTCTGTCCCCAGTTTCTTGTGCAGTCGAACCATCTGGGCGAACTATGAGAGCCAGGAGAGATGGGTGAGCAAATCCTTCACCTGGATGGAGTCTCCAAGCTGGGATTCCGAGCTTCAAACTTTCTCAGTTCCCCCAAATCACAGTGATTCCAAGCTCCCACGTGCACACATGCATGAGACAGTCCCTCCACCAGTAGCACTCTTCCTGTCACTTACCACCCAGGGCTTGTCACAGAAGTTGTAGACAGAATGCAAAGAGTTGACACTGGGGATGCCAGCATACTGCAGCCCAATGACCAAACTGCGGTAGTCTCCGTTTCGTGCCATGCTGAAAGCGTGCTGGCGGATCAGCACAAAGTCCGGCTTCAGAGACCTGGCATGGCAGGGGGAGAAGTGTCCAGGATACTACTCCTCCCAAAGCTCCCCACCACCCTGAGAACAAAAACCAACTTTCTAAGTCTCCACGGCTCCTAGAAATTGCAAAGTGGCTGCTTACCTCAACACATATGCACGGGCTGTGTCTTCCAGTGCCATCACCCTTGCTACACCTCCCCCATCTGGTGACCCCCTGGAAGCCTTTCCTACCTGTTTCTCGCCTTGCCCAGGTCAGCTAGCAGCTTGACCCCTCAGCTCTGACAGCTCCCTGATCATAATCTCTCAGACTATTAGCTGTCCTCAAAGGCTGCAGCCTAGAATAAATTCCAGCCTCAGGGCCTCTACACTGTGGCCAAGAGAGATGGGTGAGCAAACAGCCTCAGGGCTGTTTCCTGTGCCTGGAACATTCCCCCCTCCCCCCAACCTGGATATCGGCACATAGCTCTCTTTCACCTCCTTCAGTTCTTTTCTCAAGTGTCTCTCACAGACGCAATAGGTACTCCATAAATACCTATTGAATGTAAAATGCTGAGAGCAGCACCTGGCATACAGTAGATGTTCAAGAAACATTTGCTGACTTAATAACTAAGAAGTTTGGCTCGTGGTCTGCTAGGATCCTTGGCTCTGCAGAAGGAAGCTAATCGTCCCACATTCTGTATCTAATTTTTTTTTAATTGACATATAACATTGTGTAAGTTTAAGGCATTAAACACGTCAATTTGACACACTTAATATATTGTAATAGGATTGCCAATATAGCGTTATTTAGCACTTCTATCACATCGCATAATAATAATATCCTTTTGGTGGTGGGAATAATGAAGGTCTGGTCTCTTAGTAAGTTTGATAATTATGATACAATATTGTTATCTATATTCATTATACTGTGCATTAATGCTCCAGGACTCATTTCTCTACCAGTTACAAGTTTATGCCCTTAAACATCTCTCCTAGTCTACCACCCCTCAGCCTCTGGTAACCACTGCTTTAGCCTCTGGTTTTACGAATTTGGCTTTTTTTCGAATGCATAGACAGGATACAGTACTTGTCTTTCTCCGGCTGATTCATCTTACTTAGCATGGTGTCCTCAAGGTCCATTCACATTGGTGCAAATGGCAGGTTTCCTTCTCTCTCGTGGCTGGATAATATTTCATAGTATATGCATACCGCATCTTCTTTATCCATTCATTCACTAATGGGTGCTTAAGTTGTTTCCATAACTTGGCTACTGTAATACACCTAAGTTCTGGCTCACAGAGGGATGGGTGTGGGGTGGTGGGGGACTCACTCTCAGCTCTAAGGGAGTCCTTATGCCTCTTCCATAACACCAAGTTAACCTTTTTATACTTACCGCATGACCTTTACCCCATTCCGAAGAACTTCCATGTCCACAGAGAATCCACCATTGGCATGAGCCACGAGGTTGAGATCCGAGAATTCAGCCTAGGAAGGTGAAAAAATCAGTGATTTATCCACATCCCACAAAGATGACCAACTAGTTTTCAGTCTGGACAGCTGACCCCCAGGTCCATCTACCCCAACTAACCTGTTCTACTTTAATGTCAATTTCTCCATGGATCTTTTTCCCTTTGAAGTATTTTGCCCTAGAGAGGAAAAGCAGAGCACATCCATCAATCTCATGAAGACACACCCCAGGCCAGTCCTTTAACCCTTTTGCCCCTTCAGAGCCATAAAATGCTTCGTGATGGTTGAAACACTTTGAGAAGCTCCACAGTGCTTTGTGTACAATGAAGTCTGTTGTAATCCTCATGGAGGTGTGCCAATGTCAAAGGACACTGTGAACTCTAAAAGAAGTCCTTAAACCACAGATGGCAGGCAGGCATTCCCCAGAGTCTGGTCAGCTCATCCCACTGCTACCATAAATATTTTTGAAAAGCTTTGCCAAATGAGGGAGTGCTTCATAAGCTGTAACGTACTTTGAAATTGCATGGAGGTTCGTAAATGGCAAAAAACCCCAAAAACCAAAAAACAAACACCTTAGAGAATGCATATATATGAAGTGTGCCCCAGTATGTCTCAGTGTCTGTGTCTGCTCATGTGGCCTGATGCATCTCTCTGCTCTCTGGCCCTTTCCCATGGAGCATCACATTTGCCACGTGTGGCTGTGTGCCCCAAGAACACAACTGTGGGTGGGCAGCTATATAAAAGAGCAGATTGAGGGGTGCAGGATGGCAGTGGTTCTATAGAAGCCAGAGCCATCAATGATGGGGACCAGGGGTGGGGGATGCAGCTGAGGGCAAGGGGAAGCCATAGGAGGGAAGAGGGGTAGGAACAGCAGTAGATGCAGCATGAACTGCCATGTCACTATCCCTGGGCCCAACCCCAGCTGGGCTTGGTTTCCAGTGGTGTCCTTCCCCAGGCCCAGGATTTCTACCTGACAGGCTTCTCTACACACAGAAGCTCATCTCCAGTCAGGTTTCTCATACAAGAAGGGTGAGGAGAGGAACCACTCCCAGGGTTACCTACATGCACAAAGTAAGGGTCTCTGACACATCCGCACAGCACAAAGGGTCCCTAGTGACTTCACTGATGAACCCCAAAGACTCCAAGCACAGTCATTTTCTCCTCTTCCTCTCTCTCCCTCCCTCCCCCTCCTCCTTCCCTACCCCTCCACACACACACACACACACACACACACACACACGCACGCACGCACACACACGCACTCCATTACTGATACTGTCTGCACACAAGTGTTGGAAGAGAATTTCTCTGAGATCTGCACATTTTTCATGTATAAAATAGTGACGAATGTAGACTGTGTCACTGTATTTCAAACTTTTTTGACCACAAGTGTAGTGAATACTGTGGCACTCTGCTCAGATGTCCTCTTTAGGGCCAACGCACCCAGATATCAGCTGTTGACAGCCCATGGCTATGTCCCACTGGGAACTGTCTTGTCATGGGGAACTGCTTTGGCCAAGATTATATCTACTTTAGGCAGCCCATGTCTTATATCTGGCCCATGAGTGAGTACAAAGGCTGGCCCTTTTGCCTCAGTACAAGCTGACTCAGAAGGACCATATCACTGCCCTAGGATCAGCTGAGGCCTCTGATGCAGCTGCATCGTGGACCAGTTTCTCCCTCTGCCTGACCCTGCCCTCCTTACAGGCATTGATCCTAAAGGCACTCCCCAGTAAGCCTCCTGCATACAAATACCTGCCTCAAAATCTGTTTCCAGAGAACCCAACCTAAAACAGTGCCAGAGATGTCAAACTACAAAAAAAGACTCTAATGCCATTTTGGAATTGGGTCACCCAGCAGCCAGCAGGCAATGAGGAACCATCGTCTGTGGGGGTGGAGCACAGATAGCCCTTAACATGTTGTAGCAACATAAAGCACTTGGCAGCAGGTCTGGGCTGTGGTGCCAGCAGGATGCCACTTGAACTATATGATCTGGCAGATTCCATGATACTGGACGTGTCAGTAGTGGGAAGAGGCACAGTGTCGAGTGTATTTTCATGAGTGTGAGAATTATGGTGTGGGCCCTTGGCGTTTGGGGGTAGCAGTAACTTTTACTGATGGTGAATTCTAATGAGATACTGATAGAAGGGAATGCACCAGTTGGTGAAATATCCCTGGCACTTGGGAGGTGTGAGGGAAATGGTAAGCAGACCTGGGTGACTATTTGTTAAACACCATTGGTTAGCTGAAGAAAGATCTGACATGTTCAGGGTGAGTAATCACTAATTCAAAGCAAAATGAGAAAGCCAGAGGACCCCCTTGGATACATTTAAGGAAATACCAATCTTCTACAACTGGAGGGCAGACAGAGGGGAGAACCAGGGGCTTAGAGCATAATCATAAGTGTAACAAAACTTTGGAGAAGGTTGAATTCTCAGGCCTAGCACATCTCCTATGCCATGGTCAGAGCCCTAATAGGACAAGAGTGAAGCCCTTAGACTTGGGATGGGGATATCTGGGAAGATGTATGTAACACCTCGAACTTGTTGATTCACCTGAACCCACTGGGCCTGCAGAAGTAGTCCACTTCTCCTTGTTAGAGTATAGACCTTCCCTCTGCCTGAAGATAATACAGAGGCCTTGAAGGAAGCAGATGCCTTACAAAATAATGCTTGCCCCTTTCAGAATCTACCCCCTTCCCCTCTTAGCAAACAGATCTATATGCAGGGTCAAATCCTAGAATACCTAACTGGAGAGGTTCTAAGCTTGCAAAGGAAGGAAAGAAATACACAAAAGCTGAAAGACCTGGCCAATATGTACTGACAGGAGCTGTCAAAGTATGCATGAAACTGAGTCCTAAGGACAATGGGCCAAAGAGGTGGAACATGAAGTTGATGTTGCCGATATACTGTGAGATGACTTGTGGAACCCTGGAGCAAACAATGGTCAATACCAAGTGAAACAGAAATGCCAAATCTTCCATGGCAGACTGTGAAAGAAAGGATCAAAGGACTCAAAGAAACAGACATGTTAGAGAAGATATACTAGGTAAGTCTAGAAAACTCTTCAGCTGATCATATTCTATGGGAAGGCCCAGAGGATATACCCCACTTACAAAATCAATAAGGAATATGCTGGTAAGAGTGGTACCAGCCATAACAAGAAGCACAGTAGTGGTAAGGTGATAATTGAAGTCCTGTCCCAGGTTCTGCTCAAAATGGGTCCATTGAGTCCACAGGTTCACCCAGTGGTCACTTCCGTCATTCACAAATGTGTAATTAAAATGGACATATCTGGGGGTGCCTGGGTAGCTCAGTTGGTTAAGCATCTGCCTTTTTTAAAAAAAAGAAATGAGAAGCAGACAAGGAGATTAATTTCATTGATATCTTTTCCTTTCTTTTTTTTAAAGATTTTATTTATTTATTCATGAGAGACACAGAGACAGAGAGAGGCAGAGACACAGGCAGAGGGAGAAGCAGGTTCCATGCAGGGAACCTGATGTGGTACTCGATCCCGGGTCTCCAGGATCACACCCTGAGCTGAAGGTAGGTGCTTAACCACTGAGCCACTCAGGCGTCCCAAGCATCTGCCTTTAGCTCAGGTCATGATCCCTGAGTGGAATTTGACTGGAATTTGCTCATGCTCTCTCAAATACATAAATAAAATCTTTAAAAAAATAAAATGGACATAACTGTAGTTGTCAGAACCCCTACATGGGCTCCTTGGCTTGTAGGGGTAAGAGCTATTGCAGTGGGGAAGTTCAAACGGATGCCTCTGAAACTACACATCCCTCCCCTGATCAAATCAGTAAATCAAAGATAATATTATATCTATCCTAAGAGTGATGGTGGAAAGTCATGCTACTTTGAGAGATTAAAGGATGGAGGGGTGTTAGTCCCATCATATCTCCACTGAATTAATCAGTTTGGGTCCTGGAGAATGTCTATAGACATTCTCAACCAAGCAATATCCCTAATTGAAGCAGCTGTACTGGATGTGCTGCCATTGCTAGAGCAAACCTCAGATACGCAGGTGGCTGTATCTGAGGTGACTTACTGAATGCACTCTTTTCTATTTTGATCAGAAAAAAGGATCAGAAACATTTCACATTCACATGGGACTGACGACAATATTTTTTGATGGTCTTGCCACAGGGCTATGCTATCTTTCTCATTCTGCGTCATCATATGGTCCAAAGGCACTGGGCCATCTGGACATCCCACAGAATATCACACTGGGCTGCTATATTAAATCATATTGATTGGGCAAGAGATGATTAGCACATTGTCTTGATAAGACGCATGCACTCCAGAGGGTAGGAGATAAACCATACAAAGACTCAGAGGCCTGCCACATTATCGAAAGTTTTTGGGATACAGTGGTCCAAGGCATTCCAGGACAGCCCCTCCAAATAATAGGGCAAAGCATTGGATCTTACACCTCCCACCATGAAGAAAAAAGCACAACACTTGGTAGGTGTCTTCAGGTTCTAGAGGCAGCATATTCCATACCTGGAGATACTGCTCTGATTCATATTTCAGGTATAACATAAGGCTGAATGGGATGCCATATGATCTGGAAGATCTTATGATACCGAATAAGTCAGTAGTGGGAAAAGATACAGTTGGAGCTTATGGCAAGTTTGAGTGGGAGGCTCCTCAGGTTCTGGAGCAAGGCCATGCCACCTGCAAGCAGAGAATTACATGACTTTTGAGAAACAACTCCTGGTGCAGTACTGGGCTCTGGTAGACAGAATGCTTGACTACGGGGCACCAAGTGATTGTGCATCCAGGTGCCCATTGTGAGCTGGGTCCTGCCAGGCCCACCAAGTAATAACATCAGATGGACCCAGCAGCTGGGATCAAGCTCAAGCAGGACTGAGCAAGCTGCCTGAGCAGGTAATCTAGATGCCCATGTCATCCCCACTATTGTACTAGTGTCTCCCTCAGCTCACCAAGGGGACCCCTTACAACCAGTGGGTGAAGGAAGGAAGAAAAAGCCTAAGCTTGGTTCAAAAATGACTGGTTTGGTATGTGGGGAGAAGCCAAAAATGGACAGTGGCTGTATGATAGCCCCACTCAGAGTGGTCCTGAAAGTGGCAGAGCTCCCAATGGCAGAGCTTTGGACTATGCACCCAGTAATCTACTTAATAGGGAAAGAAAAATGGCCCAAGATTAGA